GGTGATGTGTGGTTCGCAGTGTATAGGAGTGACCGGGAAAGAGTTGCCTTCACTCTCGACACCATCCCGAAACACTTTGAGCATTGCGAGGGTGTCAAGGCGGTAAACAAGTTCGGGCCTAGGCTTGCGGATCTCTGGGCCCGTTTTGAACCCGAAAACCCCGACTTCCTTGTGAATGAAAGAGGCGAAGTTGTGCAACCCCCTTAATCGGAAGAGAAGGCCACTTAGATTTTGAGATAGGATTATATAGAATATCTAGCTAATGCGGGTGGGGTAGACGGTGTAGCCGGGTTAAACTCCATCCATTCTCCTGGACAAAAGCTTCTCCTGGACAAAAGCTTGTACTCAATAATTCCTGGGTCTTGATGCATAGCAACCGCAGCCGCCAACAGACTGGACCGCTCAGATTGTCAGCGTCAGCCCAATTAGTATCCGGGGTGACAATCAGCCCTCATTCCCTAAAGACCACTACAAGAGTTGCTGATAACAAACTTAACAAGGAATCAATAGGGCCAGAAAATTGAATTCGCTCCCATGGGTGGCCCGTGTGTTCCTGTTGTCAGGCCTATATTGAAAGCGCACCTTCGGATGCGCGGCACCAGGCTCGAGATTGGGCTCTGCTTTTTGCAGGACCCGAGACGACTTTCTTGTTTTTCCCAGACCTGGATGTTCCTGGGTGATCCGAAGAGCCGGAAGCCAAACATGGGAGCGGGTTCTATGTTCTCCCCTCACTGTATCATCACGACTACTATATATCAGAAGCAAGCGCTCCATGCGTCGGTACTTAAATTAAGAGCCTGACTAAAAAGTCATACACTGAACATATCACAGAGAATGCTACATGTAATATAGCTTGCTATCGAGATACATAAAGATAGTAGGAAGCCCACACCCAAAACGCGGCAAAGATGAAAACAAGCCAAAAACAAATACATGATAAACCCGAAAGATTCAAAGCAGGCCAGCTGCTTTGGCAATAGAGCAACATCGACTTCTGCCGGTCAGAATCTACATTATCGAGCTTACTGGCACCCTCGACCCCGACATCGTCATCAGTACCAAGTTTCTACTGGTCCTTAAAGGTGACCTCCTTTGATCGTCCTGTGGATTTGGCTTTTCGAGTTTGTTGATATGCCCCGTCTATGTTTAGTTTGGACAAGTCGCCCGCAAGTTCTAAATCAGTAGATTCATCGTATAGGTCGCTTCGACGTTTCGATTGTGCGTAACGCCATTTTTCGAGCGATTCGTCGACGTTTGTAAGGGCCGCTTCTCGACGATCTTTGTACTGACGGCTGGTTTCTTTCTTCATTCTTTTCACAAACCACTGAACACCGCTCTCACCATCAATTTTATTGACGAATTTCCACGGTTGAGCGCCTGCGTCCGTATTGTTCACAGTATATTGCAAATAGAAGATGCATTGCCTCAAAGACGGATTATCTGAGCTTGCAACGGTGGCACGGGATATCGGTGCCGAGCAGTGAAGAATAACATCCGACCCGGAAGTTTCTTGCTTTAGAAATAGCGTCGAATTATAAGTCGTGAGGAATCCGTACTTCAGTTCGAACCTCTGCATGTACTGCGCAATCTGGCCTGGTTGTAAGTTAGTTTAAATTATGATAGATAGCACCAAATGAAGGACTCCTACCAAGCGCGTGTCGTAAATCGTGTGTCATGTTCAATTTACCATGATCCCGCCACCAGGACGACAGGCCATGGTGCCAGGGCGTTTTCGCTTCGCCGACGGCTCGTATCTCGCTAGTTTCGGAGTGAAATAAGGAAAAGTCGGGGACAAGAGCACCCTTCTTGATCGTAGTTCTTTTAGTTTCTTCTATCCCTTCCACCACCTCTTCGTCGTCCTCCCCTTCCCTTTCATTTGTTTTCGCGTGCCCCGGGTCCTGGGACTTGGAAGATCCCTGTTCTCCCGTTGCTTTCCAGTCACCAAAGACCGTGGTCAACCCCACTTCCAGCCCGATGGCAGACATCACATGAAGCGCGTTGTTAACAAATCTGCCGCTCACGGAGATTTCTTCACCGCACCGAAAGTGTTCCAGAGACATATCGTAAGTAGTGGGTTTAGAAGAAGTGTAACCGAGTATGTTTTCGATGTCGTACTCTTCTTTAATTGTTGTACAGAAAGTAAGAACTTCTTCTTCGAAACTATCCCAGGGCTCCAGCGATCCCGTAAAGTGTATGTCGCTCAATGCCTTGCTAGTGGTATGGTGCTTATGCTTAACACTCAGTTGCGGAAGGGCTTGCTGAAGTAAAAATTCAGCGGTTAAGGGTATGGGTTTTGGCTGAGACCCTGAAGATTTTTTTGAGGCCATGATGTCAAGGGCGGCCGCGTCAACTTGTAATGCTTAGAAGGGTTTAAACGCAAACGAAAGAGTGAATATTTGGGATGGAGAATCCGGTATTCTTGAGATGGAATACCCCACGAGGCTTTTGATAAGTAAATAGCAATAAAAAGCAGCACAGGGGAGGATTGCCCTGGTGTTTTATAACTGAAGGGCGTAACATCTTCGCCTACTATTTGGGCGAGAAGTTTGATCGATCCCCGTTAAACACGAAAGGCGGCAAGTAAAACAGGCTTTGAAACTTCGAGACAGGAGACCCTCGCGATCGCGAGGATTGACTGGAAAGGTGACTCTGATGCAGGTCCGAACGAGAGTGGACCAAAGAGCGCGGAGCTGTTCAAGGGCAAAGCGTGTGATGAGCACATTTGCCCAATGCCCAGTCGAGAATATCCGCTTCATCCTCGGAGTTCGAGTGGATGATGGAGGGCTCATTGATGTGACCCATGCAAGGGCGCATGGAAGTGCCCCATCATATCATGGTGTGTGGCGCCGCTCCGGCGCCAAACCTCAGTTTGGTGTGTGTGGAGGAGGTGCATTCGTTTGTACTTTGTGGGCGGTTAACAGGTTGTTTTCCGAAATTTGGTGGCACAACCCAATAATACGGAACCTCCTACCCCACAAGTGAAACCCCCAACATCCAACGGTGTACGCCCAGTCCTTGAGTTGCCAGGACTAGAGAAAGGGGTACTGGTGTCCGGCACTTCTTTATCTAGCCCTTGACCATCCCCCTCCTACCCGCTAGAGGAACCTGACTTGCACTGTTAGAGCCAGACATAATAGGCAATATTCCCCAAAATCGCCCAAGAAAATAGGTAAAGTTCTAGGTGGCTCTCACTCGCGACAATGGAGTCCTCGAAATCCCATGATGACCCAGCGGAACGACCGACCGAGAAGAGTACCCCGACGTCCGAGTCAACATTCGAGTCTAAGGATAAAGAAACGCGAGAGGAGGATGAGGAACAGCAATATCGTGAAATCTCGGCAGCAAGAAGTTCGTTCTGGGTCGATGATCTAGGAGATGGTCACGTGATACGGTTCAAAACTACCGGAACGACCTGGAAAGCTGGAGGGATATTCTCGGAGCGCGAACTGCGAGATTACTATATTCCAGAAGCAAGCGCCCTATGTGTTGCTACTCAAGTCGACGGGCCGAACCCTGGCTCCAAAGCTATGCTTCGGATAAGAGAGCAGTAAGTGTACTTGCCAAATCTCATCATCTCTTTTATCAGGTCCCCTATTGCCACTAACGTTCCATATAGGATACCAACCGACGATTCAGACACCGATGAGACGGGATCCTTAAAGCTTGGGGACCATGCGGAGGTAGAGCTCAACTATCTGCGCTACCTCACTGAGAAAAACTGCACCTGTACACCAAAGCTGATCGATTACGAAATCGAAGCTCAAGGCAAAAACGACAACGTGCCTGGTGGATTCAGGCTGTATATATTAATGGAAAAAGTGCCAGGGCGTAATTTGATGAATTTTGGTGAATTGGAAATGGCGGAGAGGGATCAGGTCCGCATCGCGTTTGCTAAGGCGTTGTAGTAAGTTTTGTTTCTCGAACGAAGCGCGTTTTAGTCATCTTCGTCATGCTGATATTCACACCCCGCGTTCCAGCGAATTTTGTGATATGGGCCTCATCCAGGAGGATTGTCATCGTCGGAATCTTATGTGGGATCGCAAAAACAAGAAAGTGTATGGCCCCTTATTCTTGGCCCTGACGCTCCATACACCTTCTAACAAGAAATGATAAATAGGTATATAGTCGACCTCGAATCTGCATCACACCACGGGGTTATCCAACGCTCCGTAGCCAGGGAGTTTTATTACTGGGGGCTGGCTGGGGTGTCAGCGGATGATGAGGAGGTGGATATTGACCCAATGGTTCCTCATCGAGATGCATTCGATGAATGTGGCAATCCGAGCGAGGAAGAGCTCATTGAGATGGCTGCTGCTTCTATGGGTAAATCCACTCGATCTAGGAGATATTAATTACGAGAGAATACCATCCGAGTTCATTTTGTTCGTTAATTTACTTCCATTCAACTACATGTCGAAAGCGTCTGGATAAATACATCTACGGCCAACGGTCCTAGAAACGGAACCAACCGCGCGCGCTTCCGGTCCCGAGAAATACCAAGAGCCGACGATGAAAACTATATCAACCTGAGGATTAAAATCGTGTAAGTAGGTGTGTTATTCAACGTCGTTTAGAAAGACTTCCGCGGATTGGAACCTCGTTGATTCCTTTTTAATATCTGACATCGCTGAGGAGTGAAGGAGTTCTGTGATGAATACCGTCTGTGATAAGAAGATTGATAGTTCTAGAAGTTGGGTTCTTTAATAAGATGGATGTAAATTTCAATAATAAGTGAATAGTAAACAGTGAATATCTTAAGAAAGCAGAAATCCGATATCTCAAGAGTCAAGTCTCATATACTCGAGGTTCAATGTAGCTGTCATTGATAAATCATTGACAGGGATCCGGAGCTTATCCAGGATAACCTCAAGCTAGTGGGAAAGCTAAACCAAGGTGAGGAAAGCTCGCCCCAGAAAAGTCCACCTTGAACCAAAGAAAACCCTGAAACATTTGTCACGCACTCATAATTTTGGAAGAACCGCAACACAATAACCACCATGGGTGCTGTGGTCTAGTGGTATGACGAAGCATTGTGGCTGCTTTAGCCCCGGTTCGATTCCGGGCAGCGCCAATATCTTTTTCTTCTTTTCGCCTCCATTCACGATTCATAGTGAATGAGTTTCTGGGGAAGTCAACAATTTTTTATTTTCTGAGGCCTTGATGCATGACTGTTTCTCAATGTGTCGATTTGTACCCCTACAACGCTTTATCATTGATATATTAGTGGATATTTACTCGAAATATTGAAGACTGGCTCTGCTCTTCGCTGGATACCCGATCAAAAGTGTAGAAGAACTTCTTCCGTTGGGATCCGTCTATAAATTGTGAGTTCAGTCTCTATATTAGTTCTGCTAGTTTAGTTTTTTATTCAGCATAGCAGCACCTAGAGGGTCAACAGAGATGCGTCGTGAATAACTCGGTATTTCAGATTGGAGTGGTTCATAATAACGGGCTAATCTGGCTGTATTACATCTTTGCTCTGAGGGTCAAAAGGATAATCGTATCGCGAACCACCATGTCAGTATGCCCGAGTGGTCAAAGGGGCTAGACTTGAATACTCTTCATGCCATCTAGTTCGTTCGCGATCCTAGGTTCGAACCCTAGTGCTGACGGTTTCTTTTTTTAGTTTTTTTTTGGCTTTCCACCCCTAAAATTCTCCAAAGACGAATAACGAGAAGCATAAGAACTCGAATTCATAGTATAAGATAAATCAATAAGTATTTCGTTTACGCTGTCAACACCAACCTGGTTATTTCAATCCTCGTTGACTACATGTTCCCACGTAGAGAAGACTCATTAGGCATAGATACATTGCATTTAAATTATGTTTTGCTCGAAAAGCTCCCTGAAAAGGATTAAGCACTCATTGATGAGAAAAAATAGCAAAGTTTGACAAGTCACTTTTTCAGGCTACGTAACTTATATAAGAGTGAACTGTTTGTTTTACCGGCGAATGTATACAGTTGCTAAGTGAGAAAGAGAAAAAGAGCGAAATTTCTTAGAACTTCTCTTCTCCCTTCATCTTTCCACCTTGGTTTGCTATGTTCAACAGTCAAACTTCTTTCAGACCTTCCTTTCGCACCTATCGGCTCGCAAACAAACTCTCACTATTGGACACCCTGCCTCTTGGTGAGGCTGTCTCGGTAACAAGACTTTGATTATGGCTCTCCCTTTCCATCTCTTTGGTGATCTGTGGCTCGAAGATCCTCGGCAATTTCTTGACGGCACTGAGCTCTCGAATCTACATAAATATCTGCCTCTTATTCGGAAACTTGACAGCAGCTGGAAAGACCGTAAGCTTTCCCCTTTCATATAATATTTGCGAGCTAACACTTGATAGGCTCGAAGATCTGTTGGGATCTGGACTCTGCATTCTCGACGCTTGTCGAGAGAGAGACTAGTGCATGGCGACACCTAGGGGTAGATAGATCACCTCAGTATCTTCTACCTCCAAGTGGTTCCGTACACTCACCTCTTGCATGCCATCTTTTCAATCCGACTTTTTACGTGGCTGACCCAAAGAGCCGAACCACCGACGACCCAACCAGTCCAACGCTGCGTTTGCTTCATGCTAGTGGGTTTTCATCGAACAACTGCTTGATCTTTGATCAAGTATGTCGAAGGGAGGAAACCTCGGATGTTCTCTGGTTCTATACTGAAGAGATCTATAAACCATATCGCGATTTCATACGCGAGCTCCGAGAAAATATGGCTGCGGTCGTAGAGATCTGCTGGGGGCGTGATGCTTGGAAGGAGTTGGGGAGACATTCCCGAGTTGTTTCCTTTCCTTTATGGGGGACCTTTAAGCCAGTGAGACTGTATCTTGAGTTGACAGAGGAGGGTCAATCTCTTAAAAGATTCGTCCTGCACGTCTATCATCCGCAGTTCTTTTGCAGGACTGGTCTTGCTAAACTTGGACCAAAGGCTCGAGAAAACTTCGGGAAAGTCCAAGATTTAGCACTAACTGTGGCGAATCAGCTAGTTGGAAATGGAGCCGAACCTGTCAACTACTTTCAGACTGATCAAGTTTCTCGCACAAGATGCCGCCTCCAACGTGAACAGGAGCTTGCCAGAGAAAAATACCTTCAGGAGGCCAGGAGGATGTTAGAAACGGCATTTCCAGAGAAATACCAACAGCGCGAAACTCGACGAGTTCTCAGGGAGAAAGAGCTACGGGAGTTGGACATGTTGCTCCAGGGCTTGACTGAAGAATCCTCAAACCCCATGATTACATACCCAAGGGCGACGATACCCCAGGATCAGTTAGTAAGTAAATCATGCCCCACCACTCGTTTTGATAAGAATTCTATTTCAAGGGCGTCGTTAACAGTTGGATCAGGAACTTCGTCGTCGTGAAAGAGAAGTAGGATTGAATGACGTTATCACGTCCTTTAAGAAGGCCCATCGAGATTCTCTTCTTGATGATGAGCTTCGAGCCTCGCCTGCCGATATTGGATGCCTTGAGGTTATTGAGCGTGAATTTCTCTCTTGGGATACTCTTTCCGATCCGCTTGCTCAATGGATTCAAACTCAACGAGGTCTGAGAATAAATGGCGAGCCAATTTCAGATCGGGCCATGCTTGAGACCGCCTTTCAGCTTCTGTATGGTCCATATTGTCAACGCAATACTCGTGAATTCCTTGACGTATTTGATTCTCCCATTTATGATCTCGCCGTCAAAGTGGGGATTGGATACATCAAGAAAGTAACTTCACCAAGAAAGGAATTCATCAGGAATAACACTATTCCAGGTAGCCCTGAACGAGTGATTGCGAGACAATGCAGTGGATGTGAAATGCATGCTCTCGATGATGCTTTTCCAATTTTCTGCCAAAACATGCCAGAGAGGTATGTTATCCAGGTCAACTTCAAAGGTAATGGCTGTGGAAGGAAGAGTTGCAAGGGAAGCCCATGTTTTCCTCCTCTTGATGCTAGGCTGCGCTATGCTGCTCCGACTCAGAAAGCCTTCGACAAGGCTTTAAGAGCTGAAGAGGACAGAAAGAAATTGTTCGCATTACTCCGATCGGGGTCCGACTTGGAGAAGTGTGCCGTAAAAGCCCTTGTGAAGTGCCCAAAATGCGACTATACGAAGGAACACACTGCTCGCTGGACGATTCATGATCCGCCCCGCTTCTTGCAACCCCATATAACTTGCAAGAGATTGTGGCAATCGCCATGGATACTTTCGTGCTGTTGATTCTCGAATTCTAACTGTGACTGAGCCTTCTTTATACAGAACATTGAAAGAGTTCAAGAAAGTGGGGTGTGATCTCACGCAGTTTCCAAAGATTCCGCAAATAATTTTTTCCAGGGCAAGTTAACGCCAAAAGATTTGAGTTGCTTACACAGGCAAAGGAATCGGGAACAACATCGAAGAATACCTGAGTGACACTATTCGGTTCATCGACTTCCTCTGTGTAGACTTGCTTGCACGATTACCGGGCAGAGATCGGATTCAGATCATGAGAAATAGACTCTGTTAATTCTCTCTTCGATTTGAAGCGATAGGAAGACGTCATGTAGATAGACTCTTGAGAACCAGATACCGTTCGAAGACTCAAAGACCAGCTCTCCTTCCATAAAGCTTTGGCCATCGCCCCTGAAATTTGAATCCTCAACGCTCGCGCCCCGCCGATGAATCTTCTCAGATAACCAACCCAATGCATGATTCCTTCCTTCAATTCCACCCTAACGCAACCCATTTCACAATCTTAATCCTGAAGAATCGCTTGTTCGCTTCTTCGAAGCTTAAACCTGCACTTCAGGGTTTGAGACATCCAAGCTAGTTCTCCAATTGTCTCGTATTTCAGTTTCTTATCACATATATTCGCTTCTGCATTGAGCCATCAGGTGGCTACGCGGCTGAAAGCCCTCAGTGAACATCGACGCTTTTCCTCGGAAACAACCCATCTCACTCCTCGAGACAGAAACCAGGGCTGTTGGCTAGTGATTGGTTGAGGTCTCAGTCGTGTGGACAGTGAAAGAGGAAGTAAATCAATTACTTCAACCTCATGGCCAGCCACACAGTCCCAAATACAGGATCAGGAAACGTGTTCGTCCAAAAGCGGTAAACAGTCCTACAGGAGCAGCGATTCGAACGTGATGCGATCATGCAAGAGAACTGTTTAAACCTTTTGGCTTCTTCAGAGACTTTTTAGCTCTCAACTTATACGCGGCTCCATCACAAATCTCCGATCATGCTCAGCGGTGACCGGGTGGCCCACTGTTCAAAGCTGGGGAAGATCTCCCTAGAAGCATCCGATCCCTTCTTCTTCGCATCTGTGGGTTCCCCGAATCCTCGAGTTTGTGAAAAAATTGGGTCTTTGACCCCAAGCCGGATACGGAAGGGCAGCCCGGACGGGAAAAGAGTGTCCAGAGCGCGCCGATCCAGAGTTCCAAATTCTCCGATCTTTCTGAAAGCAAACCTTTTACTGCTTGGAGGAGAGTTGTGTTAGGTAAGAAGTTGATTTATCTTGCTTCCTTGAGTATCGATCACTGCTAGTTCTCCCTTAGGGCTCGGAAGGACAAAGCGACTCACACCCCCCTGAGATGATGTTCCTGGAAGTGGTTATCGTAAGGGTATATACCAACATGGACCCCGGGAATCTCTTAACAGCGGATTCCCATTCATTACAGTCGTTTCCTTACCTCTTCTATGTTTTGTTTCCCCCGCCCAGTTACTCGATCTTGCTATCCGCGCCCTTGAAACCAAAAAAAACCCAAGATGGGGGCCGACAGCGGTATAGGCGAGCACTTCCAGCTCAGCCGCACCGAGGCCCTGACCATCACGACGTTCCTCGCCATCTCTGTGTACAATACCATCGAACTGTTCCTGAAGATATTCATGTCCTTCAAGCATCGAAGCCACCTGTACTTCTGGTCTCTGGTCATATCGACAGGCGGGATCACCCTTTACGCTCTCGGCTTCTTCTTCAAATACTTTGATATAATCCCCCAGAACATGGTCTTCGTGACTCTCATTGTCATTGGATGGTGCTGTATGGTTACCGGACAGAGCCTAGTCCTCTACTCGCGACTGCATCTGATCCTGCACGACCAGAGGACGTTAAGATGGGTGTTGATAATGATCATATTCGACGCCGTTATCTGCCACATCCCCATCACCGTCCTCATATACGGCGCGAACTCCCCCAACCCGACAGCCTTTCTGACGCCGTACTCGATATACGAGAAAGTGCAAGTATCCATCTTCTTCATCCAGGAATGCATCATCAGCGGCCTATACCTGTGGAAGACGATCAAAATAATCCGACCTGAAGGAAATGTCCGGGGTAAAGCCGGTCGCGCGGTAATGATGCACCTGATTTACATGAACGTCATCATCATCGTCATGGACATCACTCTTCTCAGCGTCGAGTATGCCGGATACTACTTCATCCAGACAACGTACAAGGCCTTCGTGTACAGCGTGAAGCTGAAGATGGAATTCAGCATCCTCAATAAGCTCATTAAGCTCGTACGCGGCAAACTCCATGGAAGCTCAAGCGATCCCCGAAGCCAACCCTACACCAATCACACCCGCACCCACACCCAAGCCCACACAGGAGTCGACAACCTGACCAACCTCTCGCGGAAGAATGAGAACGTCGGT